CGAGTCGTAAGATCATTCGTGCCAGCACCCCATCCCATTCGTGCCAGCGCCATGGTGGATGCATCGTCTAGGTGTAATAAGGCAGGTGATGAGGGCGGCAGACGTAGCAGTTTTCTCACGGATGAAGCAAGAGACGAGCGCGGAGCTGGCCCAGTGGCAGGCCCGGCTCTAAAAGCCAAGCAATTTCGCACGAAGGCCTTCGCCCATCGGCCCGGCTCTCGCCAAGCTAGAAGCAAACAACAATGCGTCAGGTGCCTATCTTAGAACCAAGATTAGTCTCGGCTTTTGCAATCCACAACTTATGTCAGAGTCGCCGAAAAGGGGGGGGGGGGGGGGGGGGGCTATAGGATGAATATGAGGCTATAGATGGTGAATAGACATTGTTGGATGAACATTTTACTTACTTACTTCCAGTCAAGGCCCACGGTATCATTGTTCGATTATCAGAAAGTTGGGGCTGGGGCTGCCCTTCCCCCCCCCTGTTCCCCGATTTCAATGTCCTTTGGGTGCTCTGGCTGTTCAGTGGCTTCCAAACCTTGCCGAGCACCATTTCAGCGAGGCACGACCGTGACATGTCCATTTCAGCGAGGCACGACCGTGACATGTCCATTTCAGCGAGGCACGACCGTGACATGTCCATTTCAGCGAGGCACGACCGTGACATGTCCATTTCAGCGAGGCACGACCGTGACATGTCCATTTCAGCGAGGCACGACCGTGACATGTCCATTTCAGCGAGGCACGACCGTGACATGTCCATTTCAGCGAGGCACGACCGTGACATGTCCATTTCAGCGAGGCACGACCGTGACATGTCCATTTCAGCGAGGCACGACCGTGACATGTCCCGATGATTCGAAGAATCTGACTGACATAGACTCGTTGATATAATTGGAATGCAGTTACGCTAACAACCAAACGGTGTAATTATGGATCATGCTGGAGCGTTCGTAGACCTCGTGAGGGCGAATGGCTGGAGAGATTACAGTGGCATTGCCCTAACTACGCACCGTTGCAGTGACCTCTGGTGATGGTACAACGTGGATGTTAGAGGTTGCGGTCATTCTCGATATGCGAATATAACATTGGCACCAAACCTTGTCAGGGCCTCTCGCATTTGTTAGTTCGGTTCCTGGGATGCACGTTCATATACCAAGCTCTGCAATGTTACTAAAGCTAAAACCCAAGCTGTTATCTTCAGGTGAGAAAATCTACCCTCAATAAACCCCCCATTAGTGACCGAAAGTAACACGTGAGATTATTGCCCGGGAAACATATTTCAAGATGAGGGTGAAAATCACGGTTCTGGTTCAAAGGCAGTCCAGTTTTTTTTCTTCTTCGGAGATAGCTGAGATGTGCCAGCAACCATAGACGCCGACAGGCTTGGTGGTGTTTTAACAACATTTACACGGACGGCTAAATGTTGTTAGGTTCAAGAAGTAGTCAAAAGCAGTTTAGGTGAAGTGGTAATGTGCAAAATGGTTTTGAAAGCACTAAAGACATTTCCACGGTTCATGTGGATTCACTCCTGTTTCATCATTAAATCCCCTTATTCGAATCGACACGCCTTTGCTCTCAGAAGCCTCTTGAAACTCGAATGCACCGGCCCAACAGAAAGTTTGCACTTGTAAAACATTTTACACAGTGAGCTTCGTGCTATGCAATGCCGTCTAGCACAAGACCCGGGTGAAGACCACCATACAACCGCCAAGCACGCAGTGCCAGCGAAGGCTTCTTCAAGACTGACGTCATGCGAGGTAATAACATGACCCCGGGCGGTATGTCGTGAATCAATACTTGCACAGGCGCCAAGGCAACCAATGCAGCTAAAGGAAGAGTGAGCCACACGCTCTCAGATTACACCTGAATGAAGTGGGCTGTGAGCTTCACAAATACCAACCCAAAGATTACTCCTGAGTGACAAGGACCGCGAGCTCAACACATACCAACCAAAAGATTGCACCTGAGCGACAAAAGCCGCGAGCTCCGCAAATGCCACCTGGTTGCCAAGGGCCGCGAGTTTCGCAAATGCCAACGTAACTATTGTACCTGAATGAAATGGACAGTGGGCTCCACAAATACGAATCTAAAGATTGCCCCTAAGTGACAAGGGCCACGAGCTCCACCAATACTAACCTAAAGGTTGCACCTGAGTGAGAGGGGCCGCGAGCTCAACAAATACCAACCTTAAGATTGCACACAAGTGACAAGGGCCAGAGCTCTGCAAATACAAACTTGAATATTGCACCTGAGTGACAAGGGCCAGAGCTCCGCAAATACCAGTCTTGAGATTGCACCTGAGTGACAAGGGCCAGGGCTTCGCAAATACCAACCTTAAGATTGCACCTGAGTGACAAGGGCCACGAGCTCCGCCAATCTAAAGATTGTACCTGAGTGACAAGGGCCAGAGCTCCGCAAATACCAACCTAAAGACGCTTTAAAATGTCAGGCACATGGCACAGCAAGGCGTCTTCACAGGCGTCCGCCTGCCGACTGGTGCAGTGGTCTGCCGGCACACCAGCAGATCAGCGCGCGCTGATCCCTCTAGACCTCGCCAGCTCAGCATCCTCGCCAGCTCAGCACCCTCACCCCGGAGAGAGTTCAGCGCTGTTCTCTCACCCTCGCCAGCTCAACACCCTCACCCCGGAGAGTTCATCGCTGTTCTCTCGCCTTCGCCAGCTCAACACCCTTACCCCGGAGAGTTCAGCGCTGTTCTCTCGCCTTCGCCAG